GCCCTGAGCACCGGCGAGAGCCGGCGCCGCTCGCCCGCCGCGGCGCCCGTCCTGCGCCCGCTACCTCCGAGCCCGGGCGCTTCCAGGAGTTGCCGAAGGGAGCGGCGAGCGCGGCCACGGTGCCGTCGGGCTGCTGCAGGTCGTCTGCGTGCGGAGGGGACGCTGCCACGCTGCGGGCCGGTGCCCCCGCTCCCGCTTTGTCCCCCTATGCCGCTGCGGCCTCACCGGCGGGGTCGTCGTTGTAGGGCCCGCAGAGGCCGCGGGTGCCGCCGCGCAGCTCCGTGCCCACCGTGACGGCCACCGTGGCGCCGTCCGCCTGGACGCGCACGCCCAGCCCGCTCTCCACGGCCACGGCGGCGCCCGGCCAGCGCACGCTCACGCCTGCGGGCACGGCGGTCAGCGGGGCCCGCGAGCCGCGGCCGCCTCTGCGGCACAGCGTCACCCCGACGTCCCCGGCACTCACTGCTGTGCACGTGCGGGTCCCCCTCCGGCACCGCTGCCCCGTTCACGGAGACGTTCCGGCCGCGCACGGTCACGGCGTCCAGCCCGAAGACCATGAGCAGCGTCTGCAGCGGGGGCCATGAGCGCGGGGGCACCCCCGGGACCCGGCACCCCATCCAGTGTCCACGCAGCGCCCTCCCCATCCCGCCCATGGCTCCCGGGGATGCGGCGGGCGCCGGTACCGGGGGGCTGCCGGTGACAATGGTGACGTCCCAGGTGCCGTCGGCAGCCGCCGCCAGCGTGTAGGCGCAGCGGCCGGCGAAGCGCACGTGGGTCCCGTCGAAGGAGCGGTAGCGGGAGCCGGCCCAGGCCAGGCAGGTGGCCGCGGGGCGCCGGGGTCCCCGCAGCGCCCCGGGGGTGGCCGGCCGCGCCGTGGGCGCATCTCCTGCAGCGGCCACAGGGGACGTCACCGCGGGGGACCCGCTCACGAGGAGCCGCTGCTGCTGCACCCCGGGGTGCTCCCGTGACGGGGATGCTCCCACGGGTGGGTGCTCTGGCCCGGGGATGTCCCCTGCCCGGGATGCCCTCGGAGCAGGGATGCTCCTGCTGCAGGGATCCCCCTGCTCTGGGCATGCCCCTGGTTTCGGGGTGACTCTGCTCTCGGGGTGCTCCCTTTTCAGGGATCCTTCTGGTCCAGGGATATTCCCAGCATGCAGATCCACCCAGTCCAGGGATGTGCCCAGTCCAGGGATACCCCCCACTCCAGGGATGCCCCTGACCCAGGGACGTCCCCACCCCAGCAATGTTCCCACTCCAGGGATGCCCCTGGTCCAGGGAGGTTCCCATGCTCTGGGGTGCCCCCACTCCAGGGATGTCCCCTCTCCGGGGGTGCCCCCTCTCCGGGGGTGTCCCCACTCCAGGGGTACCCGTGCTCTGGGGGTGCCCCCTCTCCAGGGGTGTCCCCGCTCCGGGGGTGCCCATCCCCACCTCGGGTGCAGTCGGGGCCGCTCCAGCCGGGGCAGCAGGCGCGCACCGTGCGGTTCCGCAGCACCGGCTGCGTCTCGGGGGGCCTGCGGGGCCGGGGTGGCACCGGTGTCGGGGGGGACCCTGCGCCCGTCACCCACCGTGTGCCCCCGGCCCCGCGTCACCCACCGGTACACGGAGCACATGGGGGTGCCGGCAGCCTGCGCCCGCCGCGTGCCCTGCGGGTCGAGGTGCCAGCCCGCCCGGCTGTACTGGTAGAGGCTGGCGCAGGGCACCAGCTGCTCGCGCCGCGGCGTCACCACCGCCTCCTCCGCCACCTGCTCCGTCCGCTCGCACCAGCGCCTGCAACGGGGCCGCTCGCAGGGGGGACCCACCGGCACCCGCGGGGGGCACCGGCACCTGTGCCCACACTGGGACCTGCACCTAGCACCGGGACAGACCTGGCACCGGGACAGACCTGGCACCGGGACCTGCACCCGGCACCGGGACGGACCTGGCACCGGGACCTGCACCCGCATTGGGACCTGCACCTAGCACCAGGACCTGCACCTGGCACCGGGACAGACCTGGCACCGGGACCTGCACCCGGCACCGGGACAGACCTGGCACCGGGACGGACCTGGCACCGGGACCTGCACCCAGCACCGGGACGGACCTGGCACCGGGACAGACCTGGCACTGGGACCTGCACCCAGCATCAGGACCTGCACCCGGCACCAGGACCTGCACCTGGCACTGGGACCTGCACCCAGCACCGGGACGGATCTGGTACCGGGACCTGCGCCCGCACCAGGACCTGCACCTGGCACTGGGACCTGCACCCGGCACCG